ATGGCTCTCGCCTGAGCGCTGCGCACACTCGTTTTCAACACTTGCGAGGGTTTCACGGATTAAGGGCATTCCTTTTCAACATGTTGCTTTCGCCTTCGCGCCGCGCATATTCGTCTGTTAACATTTGCAAGCATTTGACGGGTTCCCGATATCAGCGTACCAAACATGGTGTTTTGGAAGGATTCAGGAGCATGCGGGTGCAACAGTTACGTTGATTCGCGGCGTTGAAGTCCCAGGAATGGCGTTCTGGCACGATTCAGGATCGTCAAGACGCAACTGTCAGGTTGATCCGTGGCGTTGGAATCACGAGAACCATGCTTTGGCATGCTTCAGGGTCTTCAAACGGCTGTCTTCCAACGAGGCAGTTCCCGCAGTGGGAATGAACCGTTGTAGGGGCTTATGAAGAGGGAGCATGGGGGGAGGGTTTATTCCAACATCGTTGATGACTCTTGGGTTTATACGGGTCCTCCTCCTCCTGCTCCTGCTGCTCATCCTTCTCCTCCTGCTGCTGTTGCTGCTTCTCCTCCCCCTTCACCTCCACCTCCAACTCCTCCTCCTCCTCCTCCTCCTCCTCCTCCTCCTCCTCCTCCTCTTACTCCTCTTACTCCTCTTCCTCCTCCTCCTCCTCCTTCTCCTCCTCCTCCTTCTCTCTCTCTCTCTCCCATCCTCCTCCTCCTCCTCCCGCTCTTTCTTACCTTGCCTGAATGAATAACTTCTCCCTGTCGCACCCCGAGGCCAATTTTTAGGGCGGGCCGGGCGTTTCGCCTGAGACTTCCTCACCATTTTTGACCCTGAAGTTTAAACATAAGCAACATTTTCACATACATCGTTTTCAACAAGTGGCTCTCGCATTAGCGCCGCGCACATTCGTTGTAAACCTTTGCAAGAGTTTCACGGATTGAGGGCGGGTCGTTCTCAAAATGTGGCTCTCGCCTTAGCGCCGCGCACATTCGTTGTAAACCTTTGCAAGAGCTTCACGGATTGAGGGCGGGTCGTCGTCAACATGTGGCTCTCGCCTTAGCGCCGCGTCCATTCGTTGTAAGCCTTTGCAAGAGATTCGCGGATTGAGGGCGGGTCCTTTTCAAAATGTGGCTCTCGCCTTCGCGCCGCGCATATTCGTTTGTTAAAGATTGCAAGAGTTTCGCGGGTTCCCATGTCAACGTGCCAGTAATGGTGGTTTGAAGGATTCAGGAGTCTGAGGGTGCAACAGTTACGTTGGCACGCGAAGTTGAAGTCCCAAGAATGGCGTTCTGGCGCGGTTCCGGAGCGTCAAGACGCAGCACTCAGGTTGATCCGTGGCGTTGGAATCACGAGAACAATGTTTTGGCATGCTTCAAGGTCTTCAAACGGCTGTCTTCCAACGAGGCAGTTCCCGCAGTGGGAATGAACCGTTATAGGGGCCTGTGCAAAGGAAGCTTGGAGCAACATCGTTGATGGCTCTTGGGTTTATACGGGTCCTTCTCCTGCTGCTCTTCCACCTACTCGTCCTCCTCGTCCTCCTCCCCATCCTCCACCTCCTCCTCCCCCTCCTCCTCCTCCTCCTCCTCCTCCTCCTCCTCCTCCCCATCCTCCTCCTCCTCCTCCTCCTCCTCCTCCTCCTCCTCCTCGGCCGCCTCCTCCTCTCCTCCTCTCCTCCTCCTCCTGCTCCTCCTCTTTCTCATCCTCCTCGTCCTCACTCCTCTCTTCTCCTCCTCCTCCTCCTCCTCCTCCTACTTCTCCTCTCCTCCTCCTCCTCCTCCCCTTCCTCCTCCTCCTCCTCCACTTCTCCTCCTCCTCCTCCTCCTCCCACGCATCCCTCTCCCCTCCACTCCTCCCCCCCCTCCTCCTCCCTCCTCCTCCATTCCTCCTCCTCCTCCTCCTCCTCCTCCTCCTCCTCTGCTCTTCCTCCTCCTCCTCCTCAGGCCTCCTCCTCCTCCTCCTCCTCCTCCTCCTCCTCCTCTCTTTCTCCTCCTCCCTCTTCTCCTTCCTCCTCCTCCTTCGCCTCCTCCTCTCCTCCTCCTCTTCCTCCACTTCTTCTCCTCCCCCTCCTCCTCCTCCTCTCCTCTTCCTCCTCCTCCTCCTCCCCCTTCTTCTCCTCACTCCTCCTCCTCCCACCCCCCCTCCCTCCCCCCTCCCTCCGCCCCCCCCCTCCTCCTCCTCCTCCCTCCTTCTCCTCCTCCTCCTACTCCCCTCCTCCTCCTCCTCCGCTCCGCCTCCGCCTCGCCTCCCTGCCTCCTCCTCCTCCTCCCTCCTCCTCCTCCTCCGCCTCCTCCTCCTCCTCCCTCCCTCACCTCCCTATTCCCTCCCTTCCCTCCCACTTCCTCCTCCTCCTCCTCCTCCTCCCTCCTCCCCTCCTCCTCGTCCTACTCCTCCTTGTCCTCCTCATTCCTCCTCGTCACCGTCCTCCTCCTCCTCCTCCTCGTCCTCCTCCTCCTCCTCCTCCTCCTCCTCCTCCTTCTCCTCCTCCTCCTCCTTCCCTCGTCGCTCGTCCAGGCAGAAAAAGAGGGCGCCTTCAAATGCTCCACCGTCTTCGAGCCGGCCGCCAGTGCGTACTGGGGCAGGCGCTGCGACCTCGAGGACGACGGCGGCGCCTCCTGAGGAGGAGGGAGGCACGGATGGGGAAGAGAGGGGGGAGGGGGGAGGAGACGGGAGAAGGAGAGAGGAGCAGGGAGGAGGGAGGGGAGGGATAATGGAGGAGGGAGGAGAACGGAGGATGAGAAGGGAGGAGGAGGATGAGGATGAGGAGGAGGAGGAGGAGGAGGAGGGGGAGGAGGAGGAGGAGAGGAAGAGAAGTTAGGAGGAATAGGAGGAGGATAATGAGGAGGAGGGATGAGGAGGAGGAGGAGGAGAAGGAGGTGGAGGTCGGAAGGGGCAGGACTAGGAAGACGGAGAGAGATAGGAGGAGGGAGGAGGGAGGGGGAGGCGAGGAGGAGGAGGATGGGAGGACGTCCGAGAGGCGCGAAGGAGCTGAACGATAGAAAGAGAGAGAGAGAGAGAGGCGGGGGGGGGAGAGAAAGGAGGTACACGTAGTGATATATACATATATATATATATATATATATATATGTATGTGTACATATAGGTATATATATATATATGTACACAGAGAGAGACAGAGAAAGTGTGAGAGAGAGAGAGAGAGACACATATATATATATGTATATATATAGAGAGAGAGGGATTTCACCGACCAGACATACCCCAGCCCGCTCACGGACGGCGCGGTGGCGCCTCAACGCACCAGCTGAAAACGACGTGTCGAGCCACCGCTCTGCGGGCCCGCTTGCAGTCGTCGGTGGTGCGGCTCGGACGGTACCCACTGCAAAGCCGAATATGGTCGTACGTAAACACTTCGAAATCTGTAGTCTCTACAACCGTCTTGACGCCGAAGAACGGTATTCTTCAATACAGATCGATACACAAGACGTTGTAAGTGTTGCTCTGCGTTGCGAGTTACCGTCGCACCTAATCATACCAAGGCTCCAAAGTACCCCCTCCGTACACCTTTTCCCCCTCCCCCTACGCACGCAAACATTTCAGATGTGTCTCATGACGAAGCTCTTTCCTGTGCTGTTTGAACAAGGATTATCAAGATCATTTTTTGTTTCGATGTGGGACGTTCCAAGGACCTGTGGGACTTTGGAGGCCCCAGTCGCACTGAGACACCCGTGGAGAACGTCCCAAGTCCCAGAGCAGTGCGCTGACCCAGAATCTCCACCGACTCTCGAAGCAGGGCGAGCTGAGACAACGGCAGCTCCAATGCATCCCCGGACCCCTCCCTGGGCCCAGACGCACCAGTTTTCCGAGCTGCGCCCAGACGTGGCGACGAGGGCCCCCCGAAGCCCAACCAGGCCCGTCTCCACTGGCCCTCCTCCGAGACTCACCCGACGTGGTCGCTCCACTGCCTCGGAGCTCCCGACATGGGCAAGCAGGCCAGCCCCCGCTCCAGAGGCCGTCCTCCTCCTGCACGCGGCTGCCGGCCGTGGAAGCTGGGGCGTAGGCTTGATCCGCCCGAGTCTCGATTCGCCCGGCTCGATTCGCCGAGGCTCGATTCGCCCGAGTCTCGATCTGCCCGAATTTCGATTCGCCCGGCTCGATTCGCCCGAGTCTCGACTCGGCCGGCTCGATTCGCCGTGGAGGCTCGCGCACCCCAGGGGGGCGGAGGCCCTCCCCAGACCCCCGATGCCATGATTTTTTCAGGACGCGACCCACAGAGGTCCGGACCCATTCTCCGGGACTGGTTCTTGACCGCATCGCATCGCTGGCGGCACGACAGCTGTGTGAAGTATTAAGGGGCACCTTCGTATCTCGTGGTAAGTATCTGGACGCCTGCTGTTGAAAGCTGTTGCCATGGATAAACCCATGGATTTGCGCTCTGGCCGAACGGCTCTGCAGCAGCACTCGGGATGCCGCGCGACCGGCGCCCTCGTCCCGAGTTGTTTTCTGTCGGTCCCGAGGCCTGGCAAGGGCCCCCAGGGGCCGAAAATGGCGCAAAACCTTCAGTCGTGATTCTTTCATGACCCGATGGGGGTCTGGGTGCCCGGTTTCCCCCGGGGCCGTAGGCGACCCGAGACGGGGGAGAGAAAGTGGAGGAGGGGAGGAGATGGAGGAGGAGGAGGAGGAGGAGGAGGAGGAGGAGGAGGAGGAGTAGGAGGAGGAGGAGGAGGAGTCGGAGGAGGAGGATGGAGGAGGAGGAGGAGGAGGAGGAGGAGGAGGAGGGAGGAGGAGAGGCTAGGAGGAGGAGGATGAGGAGGAGGAGGAGCGTAGGTGGAGAGGGAGGGGGAGGAGAGAGGAGGAGGGAGGAGGAGGAGGAGGAGGAGGAGGGAGGAGGAGGAGGAGGCGGAGGAGGAGGAGAGGAGGAGGACGAGGAGGAGGAGAGCTCCTCTGTAGTCCTGGAACACACCTCTTTGCGCCGCTGCTTGACCTGCATGTGCCCCTGAGCCCCGTTGGCCCCACGACGTCGGCAGGCCAGGCCCCTGTCCCCCGTCTCGCAGCGGTACTCGCCGAGGTGGTGCCCTTTCCAGACGATGATGGGCTCGAGCGCGGCCTTCCTGCACTCCTACACTGCCGCCGACGCCTCCAAAGCCTCCTCCTCAAGACGCTCCTCTTCGGCTTTGCCTTCGTCGACAGCCGCCTGGGGGTCTGGCGGCATCTCTTCCAGCTCGATCCACACCTCCTTCGGGGTGCCCTCGGCGTCCTCCACTTGGTCCTGCCACCAGATCTGCGACTGGGCGATCCAGCGCGCCGTGTGCTTCGCAGGGAAGTGCGCCCCTTTTGCCGCCGGCGCCCGCTCAGGCCAGCGGCCCCAGAGGCTAGCCCCTTCCTTGGCCAGGAGGTCCGCCTGCTCGTTGCCCTCTCGCGCCCACCTTTCGGTCTCGGTGGTGCACTCCTCTTTGGACCTGTGCGCCTTGACCTTTGTCACCTGCGTCTCCTCCCGTCCGCCCAGCTCAAGCCGCCGCCGCTTCCAGAGGTGTCGCCCCGCTGCGCCTGTAGCCAGTGCCTTCCCTATGTCGTTCGCCATCCTGATGGAGCCCTTGCAGTCGCTGAAGACCTCCAGCGGGCCGTGCGCGCACCCCGACAGGAAGTGGAACGCAAAGTCCACGCCGTCCCTCGCCAGCTGCAACGGCGACCGCGCCAGAGGTGCAGTGCCGCACGCTGCCCCCGTGACCTGGCCCCCTTCGCTGTGCTGCGCGATGGCCCAGCCCGCCCTCCTCAGGATGTCGTCCGTCGGGTCGGTGGCCGGGCCGTTCGCAAACACTTTTCCTCGGCGGACCCCGTCGGGTGGGCGGCGCGCCCATCTGACCTTGTCCTTTTCGGGCCCCTCGTGGGGCATCATCCAAGCCTGCGTGGCATCGGGGAAGGGGCCTCTGCTTTTCTTTGCTCGCGCGCTCTCCTCGCCGCCAGCCTCGCCTCCTTGGGGCGCGCGTCGCGCCTGTAGAGCTCGCCTGCGTCGCGCCCGAAGTGACTGTGCCGCAGCGTGTCTCTGCCTCTCCTGCAGCGCCTGCAGGAGTCACTGGTCGCCAGCTTGCGATCGAATGGCCTCGCCTGGGGCCGCGCCGATCCTCCTGCCGCTGTCCACAGGGCCCTTTTGTGCTTGGTGCCCCAGGTCTCCGTGTCCTCCTCGGCCATGGGCCTCTCTATGTGCATCCAGAACACAGGACCTCCCCATGCCGAGCGGGGGCCCAGCGCTGGGGGCGCCTTGGCGTCCTCTGTCCACCTGGCCGTCCTGCCGACCACCTCGCTGACTAGGGCTGGACCCAACCACCTCATGTCCAGCACTTCGCCCGTCAGCACCGCCAGCTCGAACGCCGATGGCATCGACGCCCCAGCGCGCGCAATCGTCAACCGCATTGCATCCCCTGGGCAAATGACCCCTGCACGTGGCATCTGGCGGCGCATCAGCCTCCCCGCGTGCTTCCAGCAGTGCTCCATGACGATCCTCGGCAGGGCTCTGGTGGGCTCGACTGCACATCGCCCGTGCTCTCGCCGCCTCCTCTGCCACTAGGCCCGCTGGGTCCCGCCTCCTTCCTTCACGCGAAGCCCGTATCCTCAGGTGCGCCACCGCCCCTCTCGGCAGTCTGCCCTCTGCCTTCGCCACCTGGATGCGCGGCTGGTGCAGCTTCAGGTCGGCCGCCCCTGTCACCGCCGAGCCCCGCAGCGCTGTCGCCGTTGGGCTGCTCCTCTGCAGCCGCCTGCTCGTCTCCGCTCCTGCAGCCCTCGGCACCTGCACTCTGCTTGCTGTTCGTGCCGCCCTCGCCCATCTCGCGTCTTGCTCACCCGTCCTCCTCCTGGTGCCATCGTTCGTGTCGCACCCCGGGTTCCTTGCCCCATGGACCCGCTCGATGGTGATGCCTTCCTCCGTGGATGTGAGCTGCAGCACCTTGGCCGCCTCCGCGTCCCCTGCCATGAACTTTGTCTTGTGCCAGGCCACCGCGAGAGGCTTCGCCTCCAGCAGGTTGACCAGCTGGATCATGGCCTCCTCAGCCTTGCCTGCCGCCTGCGCCGTCACGTCGTCCACCACGCCCTGGTACCTCACTAGCGGGTGCTGGCGGGCCAGGATCACCGATGCGCGGTGCATCAAGACATTTGCTGGCCCTGTCGCGGACGAGCAGCCTGTCGCTAGCGTGCCATTTACCTTTGGCACGTCGCGGGGAACCCCACCATCTCGCCCTCTAGCCTGAGCGCCTTGTGGGAGACGTGCTCGTAGAACTTCGCCAGGTCCATTAAGCTTGAGCCGTGGGCAAAGCCCGCTCTCCTCGCATGGCACGCCACCATGTTGGCGACCATGCGCGCCATGTCGCACGGGGTCGCCGCCGAGCCCCAGAAATGCTCCTGGCCCTCCAGCTTCGCCTCCCACGCTGCCAAGAGCGGCTGCCGGATCCTGCTCCGCAGCCGCATCGCGAACGCCAGCAGGTGGATCGTCCTGAGGCCCCCATCGGACTTGGGCAGGAAGGCCGCCACCATGCTCCACATCCCCATTGACTTCGCATCCGCCTCCCACATGTTCAGGATCTCCGCCAACCTGTCGCTGTAACTGTCGGGCATCTGCTTCAGCGTCCTCGGGTGCAGCCTGTCCCGGCCCAGGCCTGTGTGC